CAGCGCGGGGCAGCACGGCCGGGCCCGGGGCTCTGCTGCGGGCCGCGGGAGGAGCGTGGCGCGACTGGGGAAGAGCGAAGTCTGCCCGGGATGGGGCAGCGGGGGCCGCGCCGCCCCGAGCCCTGCTCCTTACGCTGACCCAGATTTCCTGCTCCCGAAGCTGCCTCTGCCTGGGCTACTCTGCAGACCTGCTCCCTCTACCACAGAAAACCGGCAGAATGAAAATCCTGCCTGGATCGGAGATGGAAATGGTACCCATTTTATCTGTAGCTGCACCAGCAGAGAACAAGGCAGTAAATACTTTCCCCAAAGAGTTTTAGCCTAAAGCAGCCGGAGTGCGTGATTTCGCCCTAACCTGTAGCCATCTTGCTCTCTGCTGGGTCTGGTGCTGCGCTACGAGAGGGGTCCATGCTCGTCCCCTCTCCACGGGCCGCAGGGGCCTGTGCTGACGGGCACCGGGGCTGTTTAGGTTCTCCCCTCCCGGGCCCTGTCCTTCTCCCGGTGTGGGGATGGAAAGAGAGAGTCACAAATCTGGGATAACACTTTGCTGTAGTAGCTAAGGAATTATTTAAATTACAGTGGTGTTCTACTTGGAAAGGAACATATACAACAGTAGATCCATAATATCTGATAGCTGGAAAAGCAGACAATCTTTCTGATGTAGAATCCTGATTATGTATTTATTCCTGTGTTTAAAGAGTCCCTGCAAGGAGAATTTCAAAGGAAGCTGTATAAGGAGCTGCTGAAGAACTACAACCCTCTGGAACGACCAGTGGCCAATGATTCCCAACCACTCACTGTCTACTTTACTCTCAGCCTCATGCAGATCATGGACGTGGTGAGTCTGTATCTTTGCAGGAAGCTATTTTTTTTAAAACAATGGAATTTTTCTTTCTCAGCAAGGAGTTAGGATTGTGAAGGAAAACCACACATTCCTAGGGAAGCATAAGTAATTTAATGGACAAAGACAACTGCTGACTGCCTTTTTAAAATAAGTGAATTAGTGAATGTAAAGTTTGTGTCTTTCCTAGGGCACTGGTCAATATTCCCCAATTTTCCATCAGAAAGCAATCTTCAATGTCAAGTTTGAACTCTATACTTTGCTGCCTTTTAAATCCTTAACTATACCTAGTTAACAAGGTGCTGTCTGTGAGGATAAGGAAAAAAAGGTGCTCAGTATTGACCTGCTGATTGGGTGAGTGGGGGAAGTTCTGGCCAAAACGTAAGTTATAGGTTTAGTCATCTTATTTAGACAAGATGTTCTTAAATTCTGTACACTTACATTTAACTATTCAATTCCAGCCCAAGGTGGTTGCTGTGTCAGAGGATACTCCTGGGGGGTGTTTGCCAGGCTTGTAAAAGGTAGTGTGAATCTTTCAGGCTCAAATATGAGTAGTTTAAGCCTCATTCTGTCATAGCTTGCAGTAATCAAACTCTCTATAAATGGTATACAGTATTCATTTCTACAGAATTCAGATAGCTGTGGTCATTAATAAAGAAGTTGATTACTTAAAACTAATAGTTAGCCTCAATCGTCATTATCACTCCATCTGATGATTAAAGTACAAAAGAGAAGGCAACCAAAAAAAAAAGAAAAAGATGGGATCATTCATGACAAGTGTCTTGCTTTCTGTTCCCTTACAAGCTGCTGATTGCCAAAATCCAGACACTGTCCATTTAGTATCTAAAGGTCAGTAGACAAACAGAGACCTACCCAGGTTTACGTGCTCATAGCTGCTCTGCAACTTTTGCAAAGTGTCAGATTTATGGGACCAGGGGTGAAAACTGGGGTATGTATTTCTTGTGTGAGAGTTCATATTCGTTTGAGTGCAAGTAGGCAGTAGTGATCAATGAATTGTTTCAGTGTCTGTGCCACGAAAGTCAGCAGGCAAAAGCTGCCAGTTACAGCCTGCGTGTGGCAGCTGAGACGGCGGCGGGCAGCAGAGCAGTGGTCTGGACCACGTGCCCTTGCGTGGAGGGGAGGGAAGAATGCGCAGTGCAACAACTTCAGAAGGTGCTGCCAGAATAAATTTAATGTAGATTTTAGCTGTAATGCATGGACATGCATGGATTGGCAAGTCTTGTGTATTTTTGCAGAGTTCAGCACAGTCACAGGGTTCAAGGAAAGCCCCTGCTGTCCACTGCCTTAGCCTCCAATATGAACTTCTGTAGCTCCCCTCCCTGCTGCAGCATGTGCTTTCTCAGAGCTGCTGGAGAAACTGGCTTAATTACAAGGTAACTTGGTCCACTCTGAAGGAGTTTTGTACAGCTCTGTCTTCTTGAAACACTTCCCAAGTGCTTATTTTATTCTAATATCCAGGGAACAGAAGTAATATTTTGTTTGGTTGGTTTTGCTACTGTTAGTACTAGTGCATGCAGTTCATTTCAGAACTACACTAACCCAGGAGAGCTCAAAAAAGCATTTTGAGCCAAAGCAAAACAGAGCTGTGAAGAGACTGGTATTTTCTTTCTCAGCTTTAAGAAAATACACTTCTGGTGTCATTCTATCTAGATGTATTTGCCCTGAATGTGTTAAACCATGTCGTCTGTAAGCCTTAACCACACAGGAAAGGACTGTTCTATGGGCAAACACTCCTACTGAAGGCAGAGCTTACAGAGGCCCAACTTGCATCCATCAGAAAGGTTCCCTGAATGGAGTTAAGTTGAACAGCAAAGCTTTTTTTTCACCTTTCAAACTCAAATGATAGCCTTACTGTTGAGGTTTTTCTTGCGTTCCTATGTCCACTAAGGGTGGGATTTTCTCTTCCCCACCCTCCTGCCATGGCTTTACCCATGTCCTTAACTTCTGTGTAAACAGTTGGATACGCAAGTGGCTAAAGGCCAACAGGCAGACGGCTCTGCAGAGCCGTTCTTCTGGAGTTGTCAAGCTTAATAAAAAATAGAGAACTGAAGGGCAAATATCCACTGATAGCTAGCCAATCTGGTATCAGTGAATGACTGGCAGTCTTACCTACGATGATTCAAAAAGCAGTTTTTGATCCTATGTGCATTTAAAAAGAATCCCCATATAAAAAGGGATTTTGTTTTTGTTGTTGTTTTTGTACTAGCAGTTTAGTTGCAGTTCGTTTTGCTCACTACAAAACTGACTGCATTTTTCTCAGTGACCTGGCCTTGATGCGCTGAGAAATAAACCAACCATGAAGTAAACTAACCTGCACAGTATAAAACAAATGATTTTTTTTTCCATTTACAACAAAAAGCAAAATACTGATGGGAATTACAGCTACTGGTGGTAACAATTACTGGTTCAACAAGCTAGAAACAAAGCTCCTACCATGGTGCTCTCCTTAAGTTTATGTGCTTGGCTTCTCAGCTGACGTGCTTGGAGTTACACCCACCCCCAGGAGAGCTCTCAACCCCCTGCAGAGGGACGTGTCCCACACTAAGTCCCCGCTGCCACTATCCCTCCATTCCACTCTCTTCCACTCCTTGCTCACTTTGCAGATGGCAAAGGGGAGAGACTATATGAAGCCTTTCCCAATGTAGTGCAGTTTTTCTTACCTCACATGTTCTATTTAATCCTTTCCTTCTAAGAGCTAGCAAAGATTTCCACCCTAATACCCTGCGCACACGAGACAAAACAGTAATGAGAACTATTTTGAAAATTTTAAAAGAAGGCGCTGCCCCTCAGCAAAGCAGAACCGTTTCCATAAAGAAACGGACTATAAAAGAAACACTTCCCATTCCCCAAGGGAAAGAAATTCTAATCTGCAAAGATGACTAAAAAAAACAAATCCACGTACTCATTGAGAAAGGGCCCTAAAGAAGTTGCTAAGCTGTTTATCAAGCCTCAACAGCCTCTTTGTAGACCACTGTTATAGGAGAAGCTCATCAAAGCTGCATTATTCTTTTAGTTTTTAGCATTCACTTGTGTACATTAGAAAAAAGTCTCTCCACGTCTCCTTGCTGCTGAGTTTTTACTCCCTCCATCCTGAAGAGAAAAATATTCTTGCTTTCATCTTGCAGCCATATCCCATAGCACTGTTTTATTCTCTACAGTTTAGAAAAGCAGAGCAGTGCTGGGATGTGCTTTCCAATATTTTTAATTGATTTACTATTTGCTACTGGATTACAAGAGCAAACAAAGCTGCCCCCGAAACATGAACAGACCTTTTTTAAAAAAAAGGTTTATAATATTCAACATCTTTCTTTCTCAAACTGTTATATCCAAAAAGAGATTTTAAACAGAGAGTCTATCTTCTGTAGAATGGAATGGAAAACAATGATTTTTAACTAATTTAAAACATTTGAACAGTTAAAGGAAAAAAAAAAACACAGCTAAATGCTATTAAATTTAAATTTAGTCCACCATCAGGACTCTTGTTATACATGACAAGTCCTCCTGTGAAAATACCTTGGAATTGTAATCCAAAATAGTGTATCTTTTTTAATGAGTAAATTACTTTCTCTAACATTTCTCTCATTTCTCATCCTCTTAATTAGAAATAATCATAAAATCACAGTACCTATTTCCTTGTTTTCTAACCACATAGATATGGATGCTCCACTAACCAAAAAAAGGTAATAGCTAACACATCCTTTTTTGAGAGGACATCTAAAGATACTCATTTTGATGAAGGTTTGCAGCCTTATGATGATTAAGGTCCTAGAAAATAGATCCTGGGATGATGGATTGTTGCAGACCACAGGAATATAAAGCTTTCACGTTTTACACAGGACCTCTTATTAAGGCAAAAAAATGGTAAATTTATATCATCTATTAATTATCACTAGTCCTTAGTAATCACCTAGTAAAATTACATCACCTGACATGATTTTTAAGAGTCAGATCTAAGTAGTACTCGTTCTTATACACAAATTTTCATTCCCCAAAGGAATGAAATTATTATGCTCCCTTTTAATTTTCAGCGTGGCTCTTCTCTTCATTAAAGGCAACATCGATAGCTAAGATGCCAATATTTCTATGTCATATTCAAATACTAGGCAATACATCAAGTCCCTGGCTAACCCCCAAGTCCATATCTTTTGGCCATTTGACCAATACAGATGAGTTTGTTACAGTCTGTGGTAGTTTGCATGGAACATTTATGGACCCCACAGTTCTCTTTCGCAGTGTTTCTCTCCTGAGATAGTGGAGCTACCGACTTGCACCAGCTGGGGATTGGGCTCCATAAAGTACAAGTAAGGCACTAGGTGAGCATGCACAAACTTTCCTTACTGATGAAACTCCTCCCCTGCTTCGAGCCTCCTGGGAGTGCTGCGGGCTCGGTGCTCACCGGGCCGCGGGCGGATGTGCCACGTGGCTACAGGACAGTCCCCGTGCGGGCGCTGTGGCTTGTGGGGATGCGTACACTGATTGTGTGCTCTATAAACCCAGTGCTTCCTAGCACACGTGCACGACACTGATTCAAAACTCCTGTTTCTCCTGAACTCCTCACTGTGTCTGCCTGAACAGACTACTATGCAGCCTGACTGCTCCCCCTCAAAGGTATCACAAAGTTACAAAAAAAAGAGGCAGCTGGAAAGAGGAAAAAGATGTGGTAACAAGTTGACAGAGAGGACCATGTATGTACAAGCATTTATGTAGAAAAAGAAGCCTTTTAAAATTAACTTAGGATTTTAAGTATTTAAGTGCTTTTTAATTTGTCAACCAATTAATTTTAATTTATTAAAAATAAAAATAGATTATTTCCTGTGAATAGAGAAAAATAGAATTACAGCTACATTCAGATTCATACTTCATTTATGCTTGCACAATCATGACCATTAAATGAAACAAAGTTTTGGTTTGTAAAGCAGAAAGACTGTTAACCCTTTGGCTTGGACTGCTGCCGCACTGGGGAGCACCCCAGCACA